CCATGGGAAGAGAAGGACCTGGTGGGAGGAGTCAGGGGGTCCTCCATGGGAAGAGAAGGACCTGGTGGGAGGAGTCAGGGGGGTCCTCCATGGGAAGAGAAGGACCTGGTGGGAGGAGTCAGGGGGTCCTCCATGGGAAGAGAAGGACCTGGTGGGAGGAGTCAGACTTCTACATGGGAAGAGAAGGACCCGGTGGGAGGAGTCAGGGAGTCCACCATGGGAAGAGAAGGACCTGGTGGGAGGAGTCAGGGAGTCCACCATGGGAAGAGAAGGACCTGGTGGGAGGAGTCAGGGGGTCCTCCATGGGAAGAGAATGACCTGGTGGGAGGAGTCAGACTTCTACATGAGAAGAGAAGGACCTGGTGGGAGGAGTCAGACTTCTACATGGGAAGAGAAGGACCTAGTGGGAGGAGTCAGGGGTCCTCCATGGGAAGAGAAGGACCTGGTGGGAGGAGTCAGACTTCTACATGGGAAGAGAAGGACCTGGTGGGAGGAGTCAGGGGGTCCTCCATGGGAAGAGAAGGACCTGGTGGGAGGAGCCAGAGTTCTACATGGGAAGAGAAGGAGCTGGTGGGAGGAGCCAGAGTGAGGAGACCGTCCCCAAATAATGTCCCCGGAGTAAGGAGACCGTGCCCAAATATTGTCCCCGGAGTGAGGAGACCGTCCCCAAATAATGTCCCCGGAGTAAGGAGACCGTGCCCAAATATTGTCCCCGGAGTGAGGAGACCGTCCCCAAATAATGTCCCCGGAGTAAGGAGACCGTGCCCAAATATTGTCCCCGGAGTGAGGAGACCGTCCCCAAATAATGTCCCCGGAGTAAGGAGACCGTGCCCAAATATTGTCCCCGGAGTGAGGAGACCGTCCCCAAATAATGTCCCCGGAGTAAGGAGACCGTGCCCAAATATTGTCCCCGGAGTGAGGAGACCGTCCCCAAATAATGTCCCCGGAGTAAGGAGACCGTGCCCAAATATTGTCCCCGGAGTGAGGAGACCGTCCCCAAATAATGTCCCCGGAGTAAGGAGACCGTGCCCAAATATTGTCCCCGGAGTGAGGAGACCGTCCCCAAATAATGTCCCCGGAGTAAGGAGACCGTGCCCAAATATTGTCCCCGGAGTGAGGAGACCGTCCCCAAATAATGTCCCCGGAGTGAGGAGACCGTGCCCAAATAGACCGTGACCAAATAATGACCGATTTGGTGCAGCGACGCATGGGGTTTCTCAGCTGCCAATGGGATGTGCGGGATCCCTTGTGTGTTTCTGTACCTGTAAGGAGGTGGGGCGTCCTCCTGACAGGCCTGCACCCAATTTGATATCTTCTGCCCCATGTGCTCCAAGATGGAGACTCTCATAGTTTAGAGTTAGGACCGCACTATAAGAGGTGCCTTGGCGCGGCAGTGCGGCTGTCACATCCTCTGCAGAAGACGTGTATCCAAACCTCTGTCATTGTCCTTAGTGGTGAGACAAGTTGTTTTACACGCCGGCCGGTGAGTGCGCCATGATGCCTTTCTACTGTTCAAAGCCCATTTCGTGTGCACCTCACTGTATAACTTGTAACAAATTGTTGAGTGCGTTTGTCGTTTGTTTTGTTTTGCCGCACCCAAATAATGTCCCCGAAGTGAGGAGACCGTCCCCAAATAATGTCCCCGGAGTGAGGAGACCGTCCCCAAATAATGTCCCCGGAGTGAGGAGACCGTCCCCGGACAAATAATGTCCCCGGAGTGAGGAGACCGTCCCCAAATAATGTCCCCGGAGTGAGGAGACCGTCCCCAAATAATGTCCCCGGAGTGAGGAGACCGTCCACGGACAAATGATGTCCCCGGAGTGAGGAGATCGTCCCCGGACAAATGATGTCCCCGGAGTGAGGAGACCGTCCCCGGACAAATAATGTCCCCGGAGTGAGGAGACCGTCCCCAAATAATGTCCCCGGAGTGAGGAGACCGTCCCCAAATAATGTCCCCGGAGTGAGGAGACCGTCCACGGACAAATGATGTCCCCGGAGTGAGGAGATCGTCCCCGGACAAATGATGTCCCCGGAGTGAGGAGACCGTCCCCGGACAAATAATGTCCCCGGAGTGAGGAGACTGTCCCCAAATAATGTCCCCGGAGTGAGGAGACCGTCCCCGGACAAATGATGTCCCCGGAGTGAGGAGACCGTCCCCGGACAAATGATGTCCCCGGAGTGAGGAGACCGTCCCCGGACAAATAATGTCCCCGGAGTGAGGAGACTGTCCCCAAATAATGTCCCCGGAGTGAGGAGACCGTCCCCGGACAAATGATGTCCCCTGAGTGAGGAGACCGTCCCCGGACAAATGATGTCCCCGGAGTGAGGAGACCGTCCCCGGACAAATGATGTCCCCGGGAACATAAAATAAGCCTCCCGTCTCCCACGCTGTCAGAAGCTGCATACAGCGTGTGCTGGTTACTATTTAGCTGTATACAGCTTCTGACAGTGTGGTAGACGGGAGGCTTATTTTATGTTCCCGGGGACATAATTTGTCCAGGGACGGTCTCCTCACTTCGGGGACGAATGGTCGCCCTATCATACACAGACACACGCTGTGGGAATCGGGTTCGTGACATGATTTCGGCACCGGGAACATTGATAAAAATTGGAGATTTTCCAGCTTTGGGCGGATTTGCTGGTATTATTGTTCCTCAATGTCCGATATTGTGAAGTAACACGGGATGGTTCCTGACCTATAGAGATGTCATGTGATAGCAGACAAACACTGGAGCAGCTGTGCATGGCAACCAATCAGCCTCTAGCTTCAGTTTGTTCAGTTAAGATTTGAAAATGAAAGGGAGAAGCTGATTGGTCGCGGCTCCGGATTTGATAAATTCCCCCCTAATGTATACATTGTAAGGTGTTATTTGTAGATTGGCCTCTAGAGGGCGCCCCGCACCCGCTCCCCACATACACATGGAAGGAGGGGGATTAGAATCTAATTAAAGTCTATTTGAAGGCAAAACTTAATTGTCATGGAGACAAAAATGAGCTGACAGGTCCACTTTATATAATAATAATAATAATAATGTCATATAAACACTCTCCGGTCCTTTTATTGTCATTCCATACAGAGCCCTCAGTCTCCATCACCCATTTATAATGGGAATATAGTCCTGGCGGTGGGCGGAGTTATCCCAGCCGAGGGCGGTACTTCTGCAATGGGAGGAGTGATTTCGCTGGTGGGCGTTCCTCCGTAGATGAAGGATGGGCGTCGCTGCTTCGGAGGTGGGCGGAGAGATTATGGCAGTGGGAGGGGGAATTCTGTCGGTGGGCGGTGCTCCTTCCTAGGTGGGCGGTGCTCCTTCCTAGGTGGGCGAAGAGATTGCAGAAGTGGGAGGGGGACGTCCTATCAATGTGTGTGACGTTTTTCTGGTGGGCGGTGATATCCCTGCAGTGGGAGGAGTCGTTTTTTGTTGGTGGGCGGAGTGATCCCGGCGAAAGGCGGGGTGAGGCGGTGACATTCCTCAGGGTCGCAGTACCCAGTGTTCCTCCGCACATTCCTCCGGCCGGGGAAGGCGGGAAGTAGTCCTCCGCGGAGGGAGTCTCGGGGCTCC